TCATAAAGCCAATGGGCATACTCCACTAGAAATAAAATCCTTTCAAAAGACCATAGCTCTTCTTTTGGAACACTAGTATTCTCACTCGTGCGATACACGACCAAAATAAAGAACCTTGTATTAATTAAAGCAAAAATATTGAAATCCAAATGATACATCAACACCCTTACAATGACTACTTTAGGGACAACAAACAAAATCATGTTACTCAACATAAGATAACATGAAAAAAATTAAAGATTTTGTAGCACATCCTTGTAAACAATGTTTCTTGTCTCATTCGAGCTTTGATGGTTATCATCTAAAATTAAATTTTTTAATCCTTTCGGGTTCGTAACTTGAGAAACTGCCACATATAGTTAAATTTGGCTAAAATCAGTTTCTTCAATAATAAACCGACATGTGAAAGAGTAAATGTTAATGAAATTAGTTCAAAATGTATGACATAACAATACTCCCACATGTCGGTTATGTCTAACCGACATGTATGACTAACTTCATTATGAACAAAGGAAGAGGTCTCTCCGGCCAGAACAAAGAAGACTCGGGCTGCTAATCGGACAACCAAGACCCCGGGCTGCTATCCAGACGAGGAAAATATCACCCTTACACGCCTCGGATCACAATTATCAACATAAAGTTGTGCAACCAAGCAGCTAATCCGACAACCGGGCCGATTTTAGAGCAGCCCAACTATTCCTTTTTAGCCGAGTCTACTACTCGACTAAGGGAGTAGGGGACTCGTGTTGGGATAATGGTCCATGTCCAGTACTATCAGCCCGTTCGACTCAAGCCTAGGCCCGACCAGGCCCAGAACACAGCCCGGCTAGCGGAAATTGGTCAGAGCTTGTTTACTTATTTATTGGGCTTGCTGGCCCATTAGCATAAGTACTAGTTATTAAATTGGGCCAAGCCCACATAGCACTATTATTTGGACTTGTGGTGAATGCATATAAATAGGCCATCACCCCCATGTATTCCCTACGTCATTTCTACTATACTGAAGTGCTGCCACTTTTCCTACCCGGGGTATTTTTCTACCAACAGACTCCATATGAATTATGGAGGGGAAGAAAGTCAAACAGCAAATACTTCCATGCGTTTGGTAGCAAGTGTTACATTCTAAACAATGGGAAGAACTATCTCAGACCATTTGCTGCAAAATCTGATGAAGGGATCTTTCTGGGATATTCCACAACATCAAAGGCTTTCAGAGTTCTCAATAAAAGAAGTCTCATTGTAGAAGAATCTATTAATGTTGTCTTTGACAAAGACACTCAGAAAAGCAGCAGCCAACTGGAAACTTGTAGCAGTCTACCGATTTCACAAAGCTCCAACTGCCTCCCTAGCAACCCAGAAAGGAATATAATATCTTGTCCAACTCAATCTCTTATTCTAGATGAGGAGGAAGAAGAAAAGGAAGAAGAGGAGGAAGAAGAAGAAGAAGGAAGTCAACCACATCAAACTGATCTCAGGTGGTTGAACCAACACCCCCGGTCTCAAGTCATTGGAGATATCAACCAAGGATTCAGAACTAGAGCTTTCATACAACAAGAATCAATGTTCTCTTGTTTTATCTCACAAGTTTAACAAAAAAGGATAGAATAAGCTCTAAAAGCCTCAGACTGGATAACCACAATGCAGGAGGAACTTATACAATTTGAAAGAAACAATGTGTGGCATTTGATACCTAGACCTGATCAACAAAATGTGATAAGCACCAAATGGGCATTCAGAAACAAGATGAATGAAGAAGGAAACATCATCAGAAACAAAGCCAGACTGGTAGCAAAGGGATACTGTCAAGAGGAAGGTATTGATTTTGATGAAACCTTTGCTCCAATAGCCAGATTGGAAGCTATAAGAATATTCTTAGCCTATGCTTCCCACAAACATTTCCCTGTATATCAAATGGATGTCAAAAGTGTCTTTCTAAATGGACTGCTTGAAGAAGAAGTCTATGTGGAGCAACCACCTAGATTTGAGTTTAAAAATGGAAAGGATGAGATCTACAGATTAAGAAAAGCTCTCTATAGACTCAAGCAAGCTCCAAGAGCATGGTATGAAACTATATCTGTCTTTCTTTTACAAAATAAATTCTCAAAAGGAAAGATAGATAAGACCTTATTCAAACTTCAAGATGGCCAGACATTTTGCTTGTACAAATATATGTTGATGACATCATCTTTGGATGTTCGAACAAAGCATTATGCAAAAAGTTCTCTGCTCTTATGCAATCAACGTTTGAAATGAGCATGATGGGGGAACTAAACTACTTATTGGGTCTCCAAGTGAAGCAAACTCCACAAGACACACTGATCACAATCAAACAAAGTACACCAAAGATCTGATCCTAAAGTTTGGGGTTGAAGGAAAAACATCAGTAAAGGTACCAACCAACACATCTCAAACAATGGATGCAGATGAGGATGGCAAGGATGTTGATCCTACACTCTACAGAGGTATAATTGGATCTTTGCTACACTTAACTGCTAATAGACCAGACATTTCCTACTCAGTTGGGGTATGTGCAAGATTTCAATCTAAGCCAAAGGAAAGTCATCTTCACACAGCAAAAAGGATACTCAGATATCTCAAGGGAAATCCAACATCCGGTCTATGGTATCCCAATGATGGTGGTTTTGAATTACTTGGATATTCATGTTGGGATTCGGGTAGAAAAACGCAGCGGAATAAACGAAAAATTTACTACCCAAAAATTAACAATCGGATCTGAGGTTCATATTATAAACGAAATTACAAGACATAAGAGGGACTTACATAGAAATCTTAATCAAGGATGTCAGACAGTCCGAGAAAACGATCCCGAGTTCTACCGGTATCCACACGCACGTGACTGGATCAGCCACAAGGAACGTGCTAGCGTTCTCTTCTTCCTTCCTCTCTACTCTAGGTTTAAGAATTGAATTTTAACTTTTAAAAATTCGTGGGTCTATATAGCCCTATTTATAAGAGGAGGAAAGAAGGGGTTTTATAGCTAATAAAACTCTCCAATTGTGCTGAATTAATAAACAAGGTGGCTTAGCCACTCATTTAAAAAAAAAAAAAAAAAAAAAAAAAAAAAATGTCCCGCGCATCGCGCGGGTGAGAATCTAGTTATATACAAAGGTACGTATTATTATATTATTATACTACCTCCGTCCCTTAAAACTTAAAAAAAAAAAAAAAAAAAAAAAAAAAAACTCTCCAAGAGGCCCTAGCCCAATACCATTCGAAACCCTATTTCGAATTGGGCTAATCAGGCTATTTTAATGTTATTAACAAACATTAATTATCCAAATCACTTAGGTGTGTGACCCTGTAGGTTTATATATTATTAGGAGTGGGCTAGAAATTAATTCGAGCCTCACAAATCATAAGCGGCCTCTAGCAAGGCATTATGACTATCCAAAAATATATAAATGTCAATTAAATCTGACATAACCTTTTAATGATTAGTTTGTGCTAATAATTCTCTTTTGTCAAACGATATCTTAATTGAGACAAGGTTAGGTCGTGTCATCCTTGTTATTCTCAATTAATATTTCTTGATTACCAAGTAAGATTAATCTTGATCAAATGACACCTCATTTGAGCATGGCAATGCTTATTAATCTTACGGGCCCAATAGATATCTTTCTCTCATTATACAAGAGTGACAAAAACTATCTTGATAATTCACATACTACTACATGGTTCATAAAATGTACAATCACCACCTTTATAATTATCTATTTAAAGATAACATTTAATGATGTTAATACATATTAATTCCCATGCAAGTAACCATGATTATCTCAAGTATAAGAATATAACATCTCATCATTATTGAGGACAACACTGATGACATATAACCTAGCAGTGTTCTCAATTGGGTCTGTCCAATGAACTTGTTCCCTAACAAGCATCTATGCTATTAATTTGATATTTCTATACACATGGCTAGTGGAATATAGCTATCAGTTAATCCACATACTGGTCTATAAATTATTAATGTCCCAAATTAATAATATTAGACCAGGTACAATTAGAATATTATGCTTATTTTAAAGTGTAGCATTCCACAATTAAGTCACATAAATTGGATTTGCTGGCTAAATTCGTAAAAACGTATTTGCTGGCTAAATTTACTTAACCCGTGGGAATTTATTTTCAAAACAAAGAAACTCTCAAATCAGATACATAATCCAAGGAAGAAAAGTTAAAGGAAATAATGAATGCGATATATAGGCATATACCAAGTGACCATCGACTGTGGTATTAAAAAAAGTCAAACTTGTTCCATTTGATGCCAGAATTTGCTAGCGGTTGTTACTGATTGCAGCAATATATTCAATTACTTAGTAATTAAAGTGTGTTAGTTAATTAATGGGTTTAATGCCCCAAACTCTCTCGTGATATAGAAATTCTACGAATTAGCCCCTATGATTTGAAAAATGCGTCAAACCCCCTTGTGTTTTAATTAATCATACACAAAACCCCTTTTATGAATAAATTTAACGATTTGAAAATCACTTTACCTAATATTCTGATTGAATATACAAGTAAATATGTCAAAATCTCTAAATCATACAAAAATGTTAATCATTTTTCTTTTATTTGACAATTTAGTTTCTTCATAGAAGGGATTTTGCGCATAGTTAATTGAAACACAAGGGGGTTTGACGCATTTTTTAAACCACAGAGGGTTAATGCACCGAATTTCCATATCACGGGGGGTTTAGTGCATTAAACCCGTTAATTAATTGGTTGATGTTTTTTTTTAAGGAAATTAAAAAAGTGAAGTCAGGAGAGTAATTGAAATCAAATAATAGAGTAAGTGGCTAAATTAATCATTAATCATTTTATTTGGTAGTAGGAGTGATTGAAAATGAAATGACCAATGGGATTAGTGATTTAGTGAGGAGTTATGAGTCTGCCTTTCCAGGAAGCTAGGAAAGGTTGAGCAATGAATATCTGTTGGGTCCGAGAATTTACTTCGTCAACGGGCCGGTGAATTAATTTGATCAAGTATAGGAGTTGGCCCAACTCTAGGAGAAATTCATTTGAGAGCTCTTTGAATTAATAAGCATAAGGGATAAGACTAAAAGACTAAGTGGAGCCAAAGGAAGAGGTCAAGACAGTTGGTTTTGAGCAACAAATTCGGTGCTAGTGGCATGACTTGCGGAAAGGGGAAGATTAATTCCCATTAAATAGATTAGATGGAGCAATGTAAAAGGCACTTCTTTTCCTTATCGTAATACACACACGATCCATCTATCACTTTGTATTCAAGGCATACAAGTGCTCTATTCAAATTATTTATACAATTTAGCTTTAATGGTGTAATCACTAAATTCGTCCATACTCGGTTCTTATTGCTTGATTTCCTTGTCATCAATATATTTTGATTAGTTTAATCTTTGGTCAAAACAATTGGCGCCGTCTGTGGGAAAATCTTGCAAAGGAAGAATCGATCATGGCCGGAAGTTCTAATTCTTTGGTGACAGAAATTCAAGCACAGCTAGAAGCTCTCAGGTAAGAAATACGCATGGCCGGAAATTCTAATCATTCGGCGGCGTAGATTCAAGCGCAACTAGAAGCTGTCAGGGAAGAAATGCGGCAGCGGATCACCCTCCTCCAACGAGAAAACGATGCTCTACGATCTCAAGTACAATCAGTGACATCCATAGTATCCAATTCACGACGGGGAAATGATATCATAACCGTGGCAACAAGATTGGACATGGATTCAGTTCTGGTTTCAACCCCAACCATGAGCATCCCGATGCACTTCTTCCCGGATTCATTGCGAACCAGAACAGTGACGTCACGTTTGCATACAATCAACCAACAGATGCCAACTTCGACCATCACGTCAGCCCCTAAGAATCCTTTCGTCCCTCATTCTGGAGCCGGCACGCCTGGAAAAGCAGGGCCCTCGACTCGTTCCTTTCCATTCCCAAATCCTAGAAGGGACATATTCTGTAATCTGTTCGAAGCGCCGCAGAGACGACGTGTTCCAAATCATGTCGACATCCCCAGACATGTCGACATCCCTAGACATGTCGACATCAACAACCAGAGGCGGCAAGAGCCAGAGATCATCGATATACCATCGCCAACCGAACGAGGAGCAGCCCAAATGACAACACCACCCGAAGTACCAGTTCCGCAGATGCAGACATACTTGACAGACTCTTTGGCCATCCTCACAGAGGAGATGAGAGAGATGCGGGAGAAAATCAACGGCATACCTGGAGTCCCGCCACTGCTAGATGTTGCCCCACAAGCGTGCTATGCGGACTCGCCTTTCGGACGACACATCACTGATGTCGAGCTTCCGAGGAAGTTCGCCGCCCCCTCGATGAGACCGTTCGATGGGACTTCTGATCCGGCAGAACATGTCGCTCAGTACAAGCAGCAAATGTTAGTCACCTCGGTCAGACTAGATCAGCGAGAAGCTTGCATGTGCAGGGCATTTGGGACGACATTGTCAGGACCGGCATTGACGTGGTTCGTCAACCTACCAAATGAAGGCATCAATTCATTTGCGGAGCTGGTCAACTTATTCAATCGACAGTTTGCGAGCAGTCGAGCCTTGGAGAAGCAGACCAGTGATCTTTATCGGGTGGTCCAGAGGCGAAATGAATCCTTGCGAGATTACGTGCATCGCTTCAACAAGGAGAAGGTGTCAATCCCTAGGTGTTATGTGCCGACAACAATTGAAGCATTCAGACAAGGACTGCTGGAGGATTCAGAGTTATATCGGGAGTTGACGAAATACCCTAGTCGGTCCTTCGAAGATGTCCAAGCAAAGGCACTAGCTTTCATCCGTCTAGAAGAAGACTTACGAGCCCGTCACGGACATATTGAGCACGAAGGGGGGCACGGGAAATCGGAATCCCCCAAGAGGCACGACTACAAGCATGGAAGACCTTATTCGAGACCAGACGAACGATTTGTCACTTCTATGACGAGGTAGATTTGACGACATGATTGAAGTCGTCGGACAGGGGGCATATCGACTGCAATCTGTCGACGGTAAGCAAGTACCGAGAAGCTGGAATGCGGTACACTTAAAACCCTTTCATTTCTGATTAAATTAGTATAGTCGATATACCTTTCTTTTACTTCCATTACTAACTTGAGCGTCGGAGGGCCGTTGGCCCCAAGCCAACGGCCAAACTAATCATTGAGCAGGTACTGACTGACGATTTGAAGCTGATCGAGCATGACGGTAAAGTAAACAAGCATGTCGTAACTAAGGATCAATCCAGCAACTGAACTCCCATCAATCCGTTAGCTCTCTGCCACACTTTAAGCAAACTATCTTAAAATCTTTTTTAGTTTTCATCATAAACATTGCTACAAGTCTCGCTGATGCTTTCAAAGGTATTTGTATAAGTTAAATAAGGCAGATTTTATATAAGTAACAGCAAGGAAAGTTGCTTTCCTCTAGTGAAGTTTTATTAGATTAACTCATTATTATAACGGTTACTGACTTAAGCATCGGAGGGCCGTTGGCCAAACGCCAACGGCCGGACTTTGACGGAATATTTGTGTGCAGGATGCTGACAGGGCAAAAGACAGCCAAAACCTTACGCGTATAGCGACAACCGCTAACACAAACCCCGCAACAAGGGATGGTGGGGCAAACTTGAGTCCTTCATATATGAAATATGAGGCACGGACCGAGAATCCCTACAAGTTTTGGCCAAAACTACACAAAACTACACAAAACTACACAAAATTACAACACAAACTCCAAAACACAAGGAGACAATACAAACGACATTGACATACATCACAAATATTCATGTCGACGATATTATTAAAACCATAAACGAAACATTATTCAATTTTTTTTGCAGGATTCCAGTTACGTTCATGCAACCCAACTCGTCATCTCTAGCAACGGACGAAACTCCTTTGGCAACTGAAGTGTCGACGTCAACCTGAATGAAGTTTCAACTCGTCAGCATTGCCTACTTACGATCATTAGCACAAATTGGGAGGAAGATGACAGGAGACCAGCCTTCGTTCTTCGTCACCTCACTCAAGGAGACAAATTTGATCTAAAAACTACTTGCACAGAATTAATGAAGTCGTCTCATCAGATGAGTGACGGGTTGAGGGAGACATGTCGTCAGAAAAGTGACGAGTTGACAAAAGTGTCTTTTTATACGAATGACAGGTTAACAGTATGTCTGATCAGACAGATTACGAGTTTACATGGGTGATATTCAAGGATGACAGACATCAAAGTTTTCAAGATTTCGACAAGTTGACGCTTAACAGCGGGTTGACATGTGCGCCCATACGCTTCAACTTCTCGAAAGGGGGCAATTGTTGGGTCCGAGAATTTACTTCGTCAACGGGCCGGTGAATTAATTTGATCAAGTATAGGAGTTGGCCCAACTCTAGGAGAGAAATTCATTTGAGAGCTCTTTGAATTAATAAGCATAAGGGATAAGACTAAAAGACTAAGTGGAGCCAAAGGAAGAGGTCAAGACAGTTGGTTTTGAGCAACAAATTCGGTGCTAGTGGCATGACTTGCGGAAAGGGGAAGATTAATTCCCATTAAATAGATTAGATGGAGCAATGTAAAAGGCACTTCTTTTCCTTATCGTAATACACACACGATCCATCTATCACTTTGTATTCAAGGCATACAAGTGCTCTATTCAAATTATTTATACAATTTAGCTTTAATGGTGTAATCACTAAATTCGTCCATACTCGGTTCTTATTGCTTGATTCCCTTGTCATCAATATATTTTGATTAGTTTAATCTTTGGTCAAAACAATATCACGAAGGATACATTGAGAAATAGAATGAGTGATGACGCTCTCCATGATAGGCTTCTTGTTAATATAGAAAAATATGTCTTCTTGAAAATTGACAATGATGTCATTATCAAGTGATTTCAGTCTATGAACACCCTTGAGAACAATTGTGATTTGTAATGTGTTTTCTGTATTCGACCCTGTTGAAAACCCTCGTTTATGTAAAAAAATGTGTACCATTTATTTTTCGTAATTTACTTTTTACTGTAATTGAAGTTATTTTATACTCCGGTATATTATGTGTTTGGCCCCCACTGGATTAGAATGCTAGACCTTCCCCTGGCTTTGACGTTGGTGGTAAGTTGTGCAAACCCAGATCAACTCATACTGTCTTTTGAACCAAGCTTTAGAGGATGGAAGTGCTTTTCAGTAGATGCATATTATTTGTAATAGCTAGCTTTTTGTTACATATATACATATTCTCCACTATTTTTCCTTGCTTTGCTGTGCTAACACTTTCATACATAATTGTTTTATGGCTTCATTTAGAGCATTCTTGAGCAGTCCAGTGTGCCCTAAAACTACTCATTTCTGGGGTCCTATCGCGAACTGGGGATTTGTTGCCGCGGTTCGTTTCTCCATAAGTGATATTAAGCAAATCAAAAGTTTGTTTATTTCACTCTGCTTTGCTTGATTTATGTTAACGGGCATTCATTTCAGGGATTATTGGACACACAGAAGCCCCCTGAAATGATATCTCTAAACATGACATCAGGTAAATCAAACATTCAAACCCCACCTGCCTTAGAGTAAGAGTGAGCGTAGCTCCTGATTTAGAGCCTAATGTTCCCCATTTTATTGTTGTTGCAGCAATGTGTATATATTCTGCATTGTTCATGAGGTTTGCATGGATGGTTCAGCCTCGCAACTATCTACTTTTGGCATGCCACGCCTCAAATGAGTGCGTGCAGCTGTATCAACTGTCTCGTTGGGCAAAAGGTCAGGGGGGAGTGATTGTGGATGTATATTCATCTCCTCCATCTATTTAGGCTAAGTTTGGATCCCGTAAAATGCTAGGGGAAGGGAAAAAAATGCTGGAAAGTTATGTTCCTATGTTTGATTTACCTTGGGCAATGCTGCGAAAAATGAAATGATCACCTTATTAACTACGGAGTATATTTAGTCGCTCACATGTACTACGATTTTAGCCTCTATATGATAGAAACAAAAAACATGATTTTGAATGGATAGCTAAATTGTTTTTATTCAGTTTGAGCTAGTCTTTGTATTTTCTTTTCCCAGATATCTTTCCTTCCACCTCTCTTCTCTACTTTCCTCCTCAATTTTTAAGTGTTTTACAGAGTTTCAAATGGGCCCTTACCCTTACCATAAGCCGAGCCTTTTGATGAAAATCTAATTTAGTCAAAGATGTTGTGGTCATTGCAATTGTAGCCAAAGCCTAGAGGTTTTCCCAATTGAGTTGTATATGTAAGTATATAATCCTATGTTGCACGGAAATGCGAAAATAATGAGGAAACGGGAAACGTCAAAGTTTGCTAAAACAAGGCTTGTTTAAAGAGTTTCCAAAGAGTTCCTTAGAGTTTCCGAAACGGAAACGTACATATGTAACCCACTTAGTACTCTATAGCCAACATGAATTAATAAATAAATAAAAAGTGAGAGGGAAGGAGGGGATGGTAGGGGGATATATTTTTGCAGTAAAAAGATTTCGTTTTTTAGAGAATGAAAAAAAAAAAAATTACAATTCATTTTTGTCTGTTTTTTCCCGGAATGTAAATAAAAATAGTAAGGAATGAAAGAAAATAAAGACCTTTCACACGGTTATTTGCTACACCAGCTTTGCCATAGGTTTGATATTTCATATGCCAACATTCTTTTCCAGGGACTCCTTTCTTTTTTATAGTAGTATTCATACTCGGATACTCCATTTTTACAGTAATATTTGACTTGCACATCCTGTTTAATTTTACTTGAATTTACATCTTGGAGCACCCTAAAAGGGTTGTAATGTGAGATATTAATGTAAAATATGTGGTGTAAAATGTAATGGATATTTGCATTTTACCATATGTTTATTTCAACAATATTCAACTTTAAACCCTACTATGAGGCGGTCTAGGTGAAAAGTAAAATATTGGGGTGAATATACCAAATTTTGCTCATTTCTTCGTTTTTAATTGTCTAATGGTGTCTGTTTTTGTTGTTAGTTTTCTCTATTCGAAGGAGAATGTTGAATGAAAGAATATGTTCTTGAACATTTTTTCGATCCAGGCAATGAATCAATGATTTATGATCCAGTCATCATCTGTTTTTGTGTTTGCTTTGCATCCCCTTATTATAGAAGAGGGAGACAGTAAATTCAAGAGTCTTGGGAGTTCTGTCTCTCGATAAAAGTAAACCCAAGGTCTTCAAACATTTATAAACAGTGTCTGATGCTCTGAAGATTGATTGTCCTCTTGTATGTCCTTTCTTCTTTTTGTTTTGTTGTTGGGGAGAAGTCAAAAGCTTGGCATACGTTCTAGAGAAACATGTTTGAGTTTTGATTCGGGTGGTGCCAATGAAATTAATTTGTTATGCATATGGGTCGATTTGAGAGTCCAACCAAGTTGAGCCTATAGGCATATATGATGTAGTGTGTCTTATATGCATTGTGTTCAGGGCCGGTCCTAAGGGGGTGCAACAGGGGCGACCGCCCTAGGCCCGGAAAAATAGAGGGGAAAAATAGGCCCAAAAATTTGTCTTTATATATAGTGTGAGTATGCTTCTTTTTTAATTTAAGCTCAAGTTAAAAGGCATGTGGCATGCCTCTTTGAGTAGTTAAGTCTCTTCACAGGTCTAAGCTTTATAATTCTTTTAATTACAAAATTACCAAAATATTTATTGGCTCTAACTTTTTGTACAGCCCGTGTGTCTCCCAAACTCCCGATTCATAAACCACCCCATCCCACTAACTTAATTAATTTCCTGGACGGTGGCTTTCAAGTTCCAATCAAACTCAATTATCTAATGAACTAAAGGACTAAGGTTTAATAAGGTCTTGGTCGTCGTGCACAAGAGTAGACATTAGAGAGCGCCGCAAGCCTGCAAATCACCATTAGCCAAAGCGGACAACGGTGAGGAGCCCAAACAGCGGCCGACGATTAGAACACCTTCTTCTGTCAAGGCTTCAAACAATCTGACAACGGCCAGTAAATTATTCCCAATCTATATTAGCTATGAATAATAAATCCACTAAATGTTCTTTTGATTTATGAATTATGATTAATGATTTCTATATGATGCATTTTTGGTGTCTTGGTAAATTCATATTTGTTTGGTATTGTGCAATTTTGAATTGAATTCCTTTATTTCGTTTTACTATTGTGAAGGTGTTTGATAAAATGGGTGAATTTGGTTGGGAAAAAGAGAAAAAGAGACAAAGATTAGAAAAGGCAGCCTTAAGTAAGACGGGGGCAATGGAAAATTTTGTTTTTATTAAGATATTGAATCCTGGAAATTCTTCTCAAGTTGAATCACCGCTAAATTCTTTTGTGAGTGAAAACCATAACATGTTTGGAAATAGTGATATAGGTGCAAAAGCCGCAAATAGTGAAATTGAGCCAGATAATTGTGATTTAAGTGAAGAGAATAACTTTTGGTGGGTCCTGTTTCGTTGATCGATTTTAGAGATTAGTTTTTGTCTTGAACATAGGCCCAAATAATTCTCGCCCATAGGCCCAAAAATCGACAAGACCGGCCCTGATTGTGTTTTCTTTCTTGATGTGTAGGTACCTGCAGCAGAAGCAGGAGGACAAAGCCCAGTGATTTATGCTGCATTTCTTCTATTTTATATTGGACCGCTTTATTATCAAGTTTTTGCGGCCTTCTCCTTTCTACTACATGTGTCCACAATAACTGTTTGTATTTCCTAACATTCATTTTCAACACTGCAACTTAAAGATCATAAAATGAGCCAAAGCTATATATCATGCTTATGTTTGGAGTATTGATTTCGATATTGTTGTGAGCTCTTTTTATTTTTTTAAGCTCTAACTATACACACATTTTCTTCATTGCAGAAAGTGATGTATTGTTACCACTTATCAGTCATGCATTATGATGCGATTTAAGAAAGCTGTAATTTCACTCATTTACTCATCCCATGAACCCCCATCACAGGTTGGTAGGCATGGACTGGTACCGAGCCGGGCTCCGGGCGGGTCCAAATCGGGACAAAATTTGTTGGGGTAAGGCCCGGTACTGGGTCGGGATTCTACCGGGACCGGGTCAGTCCGGTTCTTTTATTTATTTATTTTTTATATAGCTTTTCTTATTTGTTCCTCCCCTGCCACCCTTTACCCCCAAACCCCACCAAAACACCCAGCCCAGGCGCCCAGCTACCAATCTACCATAGGCCCAAACCCAAAAAATTAAATAAAAATAAAATAAAAAGGCCCAGATGGGTCCCGGACTGGCTGGTTCGGTCCCCATTTTTCTGCACCCGGAGCCCACTCTGAAAACCCCCGTCACCAGGTCGGTCAACCCGGTCCCGGTTGGCGGGTCGGGCCGGTACTACACAGTACCGGGCCGGTCAACAGGCCGGGCAACCCGGGTCTGGTCCATCCCTACGGGTTGGCAGTTTGCTGTTTAGTCCCTCACTATACTACCTACTAGTCATAGTGCCTAGTGCCTACGCAGATGCTATTTATCTGGATGTGGGTGCTTGGCAATCGGCAGTTGGCTGTTACCTGTTGGCTGATTCTTTTAGCTGATTGATAACAGCGGATTCTATTAGCTGTTTTGATTAGTTCATAATGTTAGCAGTTTATCAAATGTTGTTTGGTTAAATTGTTGTTTACAATTAGCTGATGACTTGTTAAATGACATTCAAGGACATCAATAAATTTTTAATTAAAATAAGTAATAATTATTTGGATAAAAGAACTGTATCGTTAAATAATTTAGATGAAGCTCTATTTCAAAAAAAAATAGATGAAGCTCTTCAACGTCGGGCTCTTTCTTTGCAAAATAAAAAACTGAGATTGGTTGCTAGTTCAATCGTTGCATCACATCTCTAGTCATCTTTATTGAAAGATGGGAAAACAATGGCAATTCACAAACAACTTTTGCATATATTTGGACGCTGATTGACGACGATTCCATTTGTTTAAACATTGGTTATTGAACAAATTGGCGTCACCCATTTTTTTAACTAGGTCCGACTCACATACATTAGCAAATTGACTTTTGCCCTTTGACGGAAGAAGATACCGGACGGTGGAAGTTTTTTTTTGTCTTCGGGAGGAGGTTTTCTCTGTGTGGGGAAGATACTCAAAAGCCAATACTAAACGCTATGTTTGATGGCTTTTCTGATTTTGGCTATTTGGAACAAAAAGTCAATTGAAAAAACTATTTAACCAAACATATTTATTGACTGATTGATCTTGTCAAAAGGCTAACTTTGGTCAAACCAGCCAAAAAATGGCCGATAGGCTCTCAACCAAACAAGACACTACTAGCACACCTTCGGTAAATTGGTCCGAAACAATATCAGCCTTATACGGTTTAGCAATGTACAATGTACTTCACTCAGAGCTCGATCGGTTAAGAAGGGACCGCACATGTGGGTGGCATGCTACCTTTGGCTTGATAAAATGTGTGATCTTTTAAATGTCATTTGCTCTTATTACACAAACATATATCTAGTCGTAAAAAATGATAGGAGTAATATTTTAATTTGCAATGTTTCATTTTAGTGTACTTTTCTCAAACCCTTATAATGTATATAGACTTTTAAGTCAAAGTGTGCTGCCTTAGATTAAAGATGATTTGTGAAAACGTCGTTAACATTGGTTGTGTTACAGTGTAATTGGGGATGTGATTGCTTCCCATCTATTAAGTATTGTGCATAACAGAAAGGAAATTAGTGTGCGGTGAGAATTTAAGCTGAAATTAGGCCATGAGGGGTTAGTAGGTCCGTTAGTTGTCGCACGCCACTACAAAATTTGTTTGCCAAAGAAGGCATTAATTAGTCATATAGAAAGTGGCAAATCATTATTGTGCTCCATTTGAAAGTGTTATCATCATTTTATTGCTCATTTGCTCAAAGTTATTTTATGATGAGCATTGAAATTGCCATCATATTTACTCCCACTTATACCATAAGAATGTTTTATGATGAATGTTGTTTTTTAAAAAGAGAAGTGATAGAGGTATTGGAATTGATGTATATTACTCCGTATATATCTAAATCATACATTGT